CTGTGGCTAGAAGCTATAATTTGGTGTTTTTCACATCTCCTGTAATAGTTCTAGGATGGGCACAATTACAGGTCAGTTGCAAGGATGAAAGAATTGAGGTCTAGAAGTGTAAATGAATCTGGTTTCTCTGCTACAATAAATTTGGTGCTGTTCCAGGAGCAGATTTGACTTGTAGTCTAATTGTACCATCTTTTTATGCTAATATGTATATTCAAGGTCTTTAATATTTTTTTACAGCTGAAGTTCTAATTTTATACCCCCAAAATCTCGTATTTTTATGGAAACTTTTGGAAAATCTGATGGGGAAGTAATTGCGGTCTATCAGATTGTATTTACAATATGATTGTTTCCTGTTTCAGTGGTGACTCTTGAATTCAAATTTTAGATATTTTCCCGAGATACGGAGGAAAAATAGGCTGGAAAAGATAGAAAATGGGCTTAAATATTTTGTTCACAAAACTCTTTGGAAGTTGACTTTGGGTTTAGGGACCCATCACTGAATGTGTTGTTTCCCTCTGCTTTTTTTTTTTTCCTGATGCCATTTTTTTCTTTACTTACAAAACCAGAATAGAAGAAGGCTGTTTATGATCCCCACCTTATCTGCTAAACTTGGAGTCTTTGCCTGAGTGAAATATTAATGAAGAGCCATTTACTTGAAGCCAGAGAGAATTCACATCCTTCCACAGCTATTTATGAAACTTCATAGGCCTATGAAACCAGGTTTTCTGATATATTCTGTAAAAGTGTTGTCCCTGTTAACAGCCATGGGCCCTCTTGATAGAAGGAAAATAGCACCATTATTGATCTTCTGCCTTTAAAATACTGCACTTTATTTCTGAGAGAGATCTATGCTATCTTAGTCTTCAAAAAAAAAAAATCGTGTTTTATTGGCTTGCTTTTTACTCTGTGACCAATTATAGAAAAAACAAGTAGCAGTGATAATTGTATTTATCAAAAAAAGGTTTGCAAGTCAGGCCACTAAACTAGGCAAAATCTGCCTCTCCAGTAGTAAACAAAAACTGAAGAACTGATCATGTTCTTCTGAACAGAGTTAAATCATGCTTTCTCTAAATGAGCTGACAGTGCAGAAAATCTGATGCTTTGTAAGCCTTTGGAAAAAAGCATTCTCTTTATAAGTGAGTGGAAGAATGGCAAGGGATGCTAGGGGAGAAGAAATTGTAGTATCTGCCCTACACCGACTTGTTCTTAAAGGTAAGTTATGAAGAGTCATGAAGAGTTGTGGTGGATTTTTAGTTTGTTTAGTCAGTTGGTTTTATTCTGTTTTGTGTTCTGTAGCTGGCATTCTACACTAATTATTTGGGGCATGCTGAGAATCAACAATGTTCAGCTTCATCGTCATATCTATAATTTTGAGATGAGATCTCAACAGAGGTGATAGAAGTTCCATGATATATGAAGACTGCAGGACCTAGCATATACCTGTGTGACATTTTGCTATGGTATTCAGTATTCATACCAAGATTCAAATGTATTACTTGAATAAATGGACTCCAGCTTTACTGGTTTGGAAAAGCTGAAATGAAAATTTGAAATACTGTTGTCCTTTATCTGTAAAAGTGAAGTCTGGGCACACACTGCACTGTTTGGAGGCCAGTTGCTGCAGTTCTCTAATTCACAGAATCATGATTTTATTCATACTGCTCTTTCCCTTTCACTCTTGCTAGGAAAGGGTGAAACTATCCCAAGATATTTATTTTTGAAAGACCAATGGCTGCAAACTTGAGCAATTTGATACAGGACAGTTATTCAAAAACAATATATTTTTAAGCCAGATTGTATAGCAAAACGGTCAGACAAAAACAACAATGGAAAAGAAACCCTGTTACATTAAGAAGAATTATTCAATGATTAACAAGTAGGGAAAGGGAATAGGCGAAAGAAAATCACTAGAATTATGAAAGGTAGTTGCATACAATTCAAAAGAAAAGGATTTATTTTTACATGGAGCTCACTGTCTCATAGCATCCAACCAGGCATTAGCCATGATTGAAAACTGGGATAGGGAAGCTGGTGGTAACTTGTCAATCATTCATTATTTGGCAAGGGTGAAAGCTGGCTGGCGCTGGTGTAAGCAGGACTGTGCGCAAAAAGTCTTGAGTTACTCATAACCTGCAACTGTCCCCGTCCTCCTCGGATTGCTTAAGACAGAGAAGGTCACATGAAGGAGAGCAGTCCAGATGGATGTGGCCCAGCGTCTCTGATATTTTTGGTATCTCGACCATCTCCCTCACAGCGCAGTGGAGAGCGGCTTTCTGGAAAGTCTGATGTGAAAGATGAGTGAGAGGCTTGGCTACGTGCATGTGGGCACACGTGGTGTGCTGTGGAAATGCTCAGATGGGATAACAACTGAAAGCACGTGATGCACTGGAGAGCTTGCGAAATTTTACAAGTTTGTAATTACTTAATTTCATATCCTTGTTACCTCATAGCCCTAAGTGTGCAAAACTTTTAAAGTCTTATCTCAGTACTGTAGGCATCTAGTTTGCACACTGCTCATATTTAGGTTAAATAGATTATAATTTAAATACTCATCTGTATTATACATAGACTAGGAAGATGTATGCTGAGAAATACGTGTCTAATGCTATGGGTCCATTATTTTTTGGAAATATATTGCTCGTGGAAAACCCTAATTGACAGCTGCGGAAGAATGAAGGTCTTTCAGCAACAGAGATGTAACAGAGATGTCAACAGTGCACATTTCCTCTTGTTCTGCCCTATGCATCAAACTTCACCATAAAACACCAGCTCTGAAAACATGACACTGATAGCCTGCACAAAGTATTTGTCCCCTGCAAGGCCCAAGGCAGGCCCATAGCATACTTATATTTATTTGCAATGTCATTGTGCACCGAGAGGTGTTTCACCAAGGACGAGACAATGCGCTTCTGCGAGCAGATTTCTGCACACCATTTCATTTGGGTATGTGTGGGTGGGAGCGAGGCAGGGAACGTAAATATCTTTGCAGACCAACCTAAACCACCTCTTTGTTTTCACATAAGTCAGCATTCAGCATTTTTAATGACCAAGATAGAACCTACCGGTGCCAGGGCCAAAGCAGCACTGTAGAATGAAAGATGCTTTTAGTGTATTACCAATTCCCTGAGCCATAGCCTTTCCACTCATTTGGTTGCTTTAATTAGTGGTGTGGCGGGGGTGGGGGTGAAAGCAGTCGTGGGACACAATGGGCCCTTACTTCAAAACCTAAGATGTGTAAAAGTCAACTTCTTTTTTCCTATAATCAGTTCCAAATGAGCTCTTACAAGGGGAACTTGGAACTGGCTTGGCTGAACAAATTGATTTCTCATGCATGTGAAAGTCAAGTTAAACATCCTTGGGAAGCCTAGAAATTTAAATTTCAAGAATTAGATTTTTTTCATACAGGGCTTTTGATTGTTAGATGTAGAACAAGACTGTTGAAATCATTTTGAGGAGCAGAATTATTTATGGTAGTTGCTTACAGTACCAGTGTAATGCCACTTTCGCATGTTTTTAATTTTGGTCTTTTGCATGGTCTGTGCTGTGTTAATGATCACCTTGTCATGCTAGCAGTGGAAAACGTTTGTATAAATAATTCCCACTGGTAAGATGAAAGTGTTAACAGAAATATTTCAGTGAAGGTCTTGATTAACTTATACACTTGGCTTGATCACAGCAGAGGTTAGACTTACAATATCTTATTACCAGGACTAATAAAACCCATTCATTTTTTCATGCTCTATGTTAATTACCCTTTTACTTTCCCTCATGTGCAGACAAACACAAAAGCTTATTGCATGTTTGTGTTGAAGACCACAGTTACACTTAGTAGATTTTTTCTCACCATACTCATTTTTACAAATTCATTCCCAAACAAAACTTAGCATGTAACTGTTTAGACTACAGGGTGCTCAACTTAACCTACATTTGCTGTAAACATTAAAAGATGGATTTTTTCTCATTTCCTCCTACTTACTGAAAGGCCTATCTAGTGTACAGACATAAAGATGCACAACAAAGTTTAAATTCCGTGATATCTTTAATTCATATTCCCCAAACGTAAGTTATTCAAGTAAATCACCATATTGCAATATAGTATATACAAACACGCCATATTCTCTTACCACCACATCTCAGAAATGTCCGGAAAACAAGGCATGTCCTGTGATTTCTGAAGTCTAATAGGGGTAGAGTTACATAAATGGTATTAATGAACAAATCAATGGTCCTTCAGAAAAGATGTTTCCAATATTATTTTCCTTTTTCTAAAGTGATGTGCGATGCATAGACTAGTTTAATCAGGGAAAATCATAGTGAGATGAGAAACGGTCTCTCGAGTTATATCCCAAAGTACTGAGGACTTGATCGTATGGAGCTGATGACTTTGAGCTCCCATAATGTGAGGTTGGTACAAACCCTGGAATAGAAATTCAGCAGGATGTAAGGAGATCCTGGAGTTAGGGAGGTAGGTTATGGCCTTCCCTGGAGCAAGCTCCTTTGGAACAGGTGGACTGAAAAATAAGATGTTACAGACAGAAGGAGTCTTTGTGGTAAAGACGTGTGTGTCTATGTTAGAGACCTGTGCCAATATGGGGTGTAACTGTGTGTGGCATCTTTAAAAGTTCCTTGAACAGTGGAATGAAAGGAGATTATTTTTTTTTTCATGGATTTGTTTTGCGGATAAGTGGATTTTCTTATGTTTAATCACTGAAGTTTCAGCTTTTCACTAGGTGGGATGGTAAGAGGGTCTCTTTTCCCTACCTAGCTGGCTGGTTACGTTAGAAGCAAGACTTCATGTTTTGGATTCCTTTATCCCTTTGGTCCGTCAGGGTTGAAATTGTACAGCTGGTTTAGAGGTTGTGGTGGGAAACCACGTATGCAGGAGCATGCCTGCTGATTTCCTTTTTTGTTTTTTGTTTTTTGTTTTTTTTTTTTAAAGAAAGGGGGGGGGGGGACGGGACGGCAGACAGAAATCCCTTTGATGTTGTTTACTCTTGCAGACTGCCAATGTGATTGGAAAAAAAAAATACACCAGCAGCGTGACCAGCACTGTGACTGTTTTCTGTGCAGTAAGTGCCACCTACATCTCCACCTCCTCCAACTTCACCCTCCCAATTTCTAGCACCTTCTCTGCAGAACTTTGACTTCTGTTAGCTCACAGCCTATTGCTTTTTTTTTGTCTCCATCTTCTCTTTATAATTTGTCTTGTAAATCAGATTAATTGTGCATGAATTGTGTATTTTTATAAGCAGGGTTGATGGTCTATTGGTAGCGTTCCCTGACACTTCTCATTATAAAATCTTATTTTTCAGCTACTCGTGTTAATTCTTAATAGTTGGTACTGACACTTGCCATGCTGTGAAGAATTTTGTTTTATTTTTTTTTTCTTATTTATTGCGGTAGACATGAATCTATATATGAAGTTAGGGAAACATGCTTTCTTTATGCAAGCCACAAAAAGAATTTCAGGCCTTTTCTTTTGAATGCTCTAACATTTATGCATTGGAGCAAGCTACATTGGTAAAATATGTACAAATTTCACTGAGAAGTAGGACTATAAAACGTCTTGGTAGAGACTTTAAGGAGCCTAGAAGCTAAAACATGCAAAGACTTTTGTGTTCACTAAGCAGCTTAAATTTCTGTGCTCCTGCAGCACATACCTGTGCTCCCAGAAGGGAGCTGAGCGCGCTGTGAGCCAGGGGTGCAGAGCCCCAGAAGGACTCTGCAGTTGTCGCTGGGGGCAGCCGTGGGCCCGGCTGCCTTTACATGCTTGAAATGAAAACTCCTGCACTTTCAATAATACCTGTGGGTGGTCAGCAAATACGAGAAATGTGCTGTCGTTTCTGGTTAGGGAAGGGAAAACGGTTAATCAGAAAAATTTCTGTGGGCTGTTGAAACAGTCGAGCTGAACTGCTGAGAGTAAGGGAGCTGGAGCTGGATCCCTGGTCTGGTTAGGTGAGGAGCCGCCTTCTTGCCAGTGTGAGAGAGGGAAATAAAGGAGGAGAAAGATCTTTAATGAAAATTGTGGTGAGAGGAGGCTGGACTGGGTCCAGCAGAAGAAGAATGTAGAGAATAAGATAAAAGGGGAACTTTCCTGCATTTTGGGATATAGTGTGACTGGAGGTGGTTAAGAGGCTGAGTGTCAAGCCCTGAGTTTTCAAAGGAAAAGAAGAACTTAACTGGCCAAGATAATTAGACCTGTGTTATGATACTGGGGGGTCTGCTGACAGGGATTAGATAGAAGACCCGGGAGCAGTGCTGTCCATACACCCCACATCTTCTGCGATGTTACCGTTCCTTCTTACTCCACTAGTTTCCAGCTGCAGATGTCTGAGTGGCCAGGCTTGTGGTACCACTGTTTCTCTGACTCATGAGCTTCAATATAATGTCATATTACTTGGATAAGGTACAGATTTCTTTTTCTGTTTTTAAATTTGAAAAATTACACATATATATTGCCATTTTCCCCCTTTGCTTACACTAAGGGTATTAGTAAGATGTGAGATTGTAAAGCCAGGTATAAAAAAAAAAAAAAAAGGAAATGTAACCTTAATTATTATGTGCTGCATGTACTAGGGACTAGCTACCTTATCACAGGGTGTTTTTTCATTTGATTGTTTTGTTGTTTTTGTTTTGGTGTGTTTTTTTTCTTCCTTTTTTTTTTTTTTTTCCTCAATAAGTTCTTGTACAATTCAATAAGCAAGACAGGTTTGCTCTAATGATGAATCAGGAACATACAGTATAGGAAATATCTCCAACAGTTATTACCTCACTTGCAAAACTGAAAGTGACAAAGTAAGACAGGATCACAAGAAGGAACATGCCAAAGCCATTTAGTTTTGCTCTTGTGATTTGCATCGTATCCCTGCCTCTCCCAGAGAGCTGTTTTGTGCAGGTAAGCAAGTCACTTCAACCAGAGTTTGGAAAGGAGGTCACTTGTTTGCTGAGTGCTCAGCAAGATTCCTTGGAGGCATGATTTGCAGGAGTTAAGAGCACATACAGCAGAAGCCAGAGGCAAATGCATTTCAAGTATTAAAACACAGGATGCTGAATACTCAGAAAACAGGTCATGATGTCTAAGGTTGGACATCTAAAATCAGTCAAGATGTTTTAATCTTAATCTTCAGGTCTCTCCTCTCTGTCAGCAGAACACAGGTAGTGCCATTTCTTCATTCTGTGGACATCGTACAAATGCAAGTGACTTGGGAAGTAAGTACTCCACATTATGATGAATGAATGAGAGTCACATGCTGGCTAGCCATTCTGTCTTCCTCACCTGCTTGGACTACTGAGAAATATGTGGGATGAGAGGTTCAAAGCCATGTGTTAAATGAGGAGAGAATAGAAAGAGAAGTTTCTTTCCAGTGACTGGGAATTCCCTGGTGTTGCACAGTTGGTATCTGTGTTCATATGCAAGACGTTTTTTTCTTGTTATCTTGTGCAGGGACTGCTTATTTTCAGAGTATATCAGTATATTGGGGAGAGCACTCAGGATTATCTCAGTTCCCTCTCAGCTGAAGAGACACAATGCAATTCCTCAAAGGACTTTGAAGGAAATGGAAAAGGCAAACGTAAATTCTGTTCTATACAAGTCTATTTGTGTATGTGTTCGACTTTCCACTGAAGAACTCTGATTACTGATGGAATAGTATTCATCAGTCAAGGAGTCCATGTATATATTCACACTGTATGCAGGACCAAGCAGTTCCTGCTCCTCCTGTAAATTCACTTGAGAGAAGATCTCACAGTGATTCATGCAAGCCATGTTATGATTTAATGATCACCTCAGTGTGTGAAGGCCCTGAAGTGGTGGTGTGGCTGATGGAGATGCAGGTGAAGTTGCAGGTAGCCACCCCTCCGATGTCTGGGATAGGGACGTGACAGCCAGCAGTTTGCTAGCAAGTCTTGAGCTAGCTGTTACTTATTTGACTGCAGTTGTTGGAGCTTAAATTGGAGGTATAAATAGGCCGAAAGATTTCCAGAGAGGTGTGGACATGCCCATACAAAGAAAGGGAAATGCCCTGGGTTGTGGAAGCTGCAAAATCCAGAAATTGCCTAGGAGGCAAGAGTTGTGTGAAAGAAAAATGGGTTTCTTGCTTTCGGGTGAAATTGGTAATTCATCGTCTTAGTCCTGATACCAGAATGTCCTGAGCCACACTGGTGTGATTAGGATCAAGAAGCCTTTGTGTTGATACAGAGGAGTGAGGAGTACATGAAATGCTTCATTTCACTGTGATGTATCTGAAAGGAAGCCTAGAAACCAACTCTCAGATGAAATCACTGCTGTGTCATCCTGCCTTTGTGAAGAGCAGGTAGATCTCTGATGGGCTGGATGCTGTTGAAAATGTTTTCTGAGTTGGGTATTTTTCATTCAGGATTGAGACGTGCAGCTGGGCTTATAATTTCTCTATCAGACACCTGCAGGAGAACTTTTGCTAAGTGACATGTAAGCTCTCAGTGCTGGTTGCTTTGGGCAGATCAGCTCCTGGTAGAGCTGACAGGCACATGGTACGTGTGCCCTAGCAGCAGCATTTCCGCCTCTCTTCTCGGCTAGTGCTGCTTACGGAGGTGTGCTGAATCGGGACACCTTCTGAGGCTCCTGAGCTTGGTAAAAGGTGGAATCTCTTCCTTGGGGTGGACTGAAAGATGCCCCATGATCATAGAGGAGCCTTTAAGCCTTTTGAAGTTGTGGGTCTGTACTAGTTGGAGGGGAGCTGTTGAAAGGAAGAACCCTGGCACATCAGCCTGTCTGTAGACCGCAGCTGTGCAGTCAGGCAGACTTTCTTCAACAAGATGCCAGCAAACTAGGTAACAGCAGATCTGATAGACTGCATGGAGAGCTACTTGCAAGCAGGCATTAAGATCTTGGCAGGGAAAGGAAGAATGTCCTCTCACTCATTTGTTACTCACGCACTTGCGGTGTGAATGAATTCATAGTTACGGTAGTTCCTACAGTAAGGGTGTGTTCACAAACTTAATGATAGTATTATGGCATTGTGTATGTGTGTGAAGATGCCAGCAACAAGATAAAAATAACACTGCCTGTGAGCCGTTCTTTCAACACAAGTTTCATCCCTTTGTCCTATTCATCTGTTGTCTCTCTGGACTGTGTATGTTGGAAGGGTTTGATGCAAGAGTTCTTTTCATCAGGTCTTTGTGTAGTGACAGCATCTGTGGGGTTTTGCACTTTTAAGTCTATACTCTTAGATGCTGAGAAGATACGTGGGATTAGAGAACTGACCAAAAGAAGATGAAAATATATCATGAACCTTTTGACAAAAAATATTTTATGTAAGATTTATGGTCCTTTCCATAAGAACAATCTTAGTTCATTTCAAATGTCATCCTTTTTAATAAGTAAAATGAAACAAAAATAAAATGAAATACAAATCATCTTTACTTAAAAACAGCCTCTCCCAATACTATTTAATTATAAGGTATACTGATATATATTATATCAGTACAGACATGAAGACTGAATTGCTGAGGTTCCCAACTTACTTTTTGCTCCTCTGCTCATGAACACGTACATTTGGTAAATGGCACGTACTCCTCATACTCCTCAGATGATTTGTAGTCAGTTGGCAAGGGTCTTCTCTACTTAGACATGCTTAATAGCCACAGCTTGCTTACAGCAATATACGTTACTCTGCATTGTCCCACCCTTTACACAGAACTGCTGGAAGAAAGACAAGGCATACCGATGTAAGTTAACATTCAGAGAAAACGTAGAACAAGGTCAAAGCACACCGTAACCGAAGTGGTCTTGAGTAGTTCATTTTTTTCTATGTTTATTTGAAAAATGTCCAATAATCTAAAATTACTCTAAATTCAAGTAACTCAAAAGTGAACAGTTTGCTTAGCAGTTGTCAGCAGCTGCAGCGAGCATGGAGTTTGAACAAGGGCTATTGTAACAAAAAAAAAAAAAAAAAGTATGTTGTTGCATTGGTACTTAAATGTAGAAATACAGAGCATGTTTAGGCCTGTATTTGCATCTAGCAAAAAAAAAAAAAAAAAGTCCACCATCATAACTTTAGTATTTCGTATCACTTAGTTTAATTAAAGAAAA